GGTTAAGGACCCAGTAGATGAGGAGAGAGACAGGCGTTGCTCTTCTTTGCAGCCTTGCAGCCTCAGCAGGGATTGCCACTTCTGAGCACACGTTGGGGAAAAAGCACTTTGAAAAAAACATTCTTTGATCAGACGGTGAATGCAATCCTTCTTCCCACTCTCAAGTCCAGCTAAAAACCAATTTCTCAGCATCATTAGATCCCTTCCGGACCAATCTAAAATATTTTTTATTCCAAAAGTCAGTACTTAGGGGTCTCTACCTCATACATCCACCAACACCATACACATACTGTATTTTCATTTAAAAAAAAGGAAGCGATGACATAACCCGAGTTGCATTGCTCCATCACAACATTCGCTCTCCACAGCCTGGGGCTATAAGCACACACCACTGCGTGAGCATCAGGCAACCTGAACAGTTTTGGTGGCACTGATCTGGGACCCTCTCCTATGTATAGGAACATCACTATGCAGGAGGGGCACTGTATGGACCGCAGGAAGACAACAGCCCCCTCAGCCTAATCCCAGAGGAAAAGCCCCACTGCACAGGGAGGGACAGGCAACGGGAAGACCCTTAATCTTCTCCCCTCTTATGATCGTGAAATGAACTTTGTACCCAATTGCCTGCTACAGTTTTTACAGCACCAATGCCGAGTGCTGCCAGTCAAGTAAGTCTTAATGACGACAAGTGCTACAAAAACCCTTTCCAGCTGGACTATCATCAAATATCTCAAGTTGGGAAGAACACAGTAAGGACCAAGTCCAACTCCCTGCTCCTTGCGGGACTACCTAAAACTAAACCATATGACTAAAAGTGTCGTAGCAGAGTATATGAGGACATTTTGATTTTAAATCTGGCTGAGGGATCTGTTTGGGTTAACTATGGCCAGCCAATAGTCTAACTTGAAAGGACAGGGAAACATTACTGCAAAGAAACATTGTACATCTAACTAGCTATCACAAGGTGACCTGAACTCTGTAGGGTGAAGAGATTCACCAGGCAGCTTCGCAAGCCCAAGGGTTGGTGCAGGCAGCATCCTCATGCCTCTGGAAACCATTAATAGAGGGATCCACCTGCCGCCCTTTAGTCCATGGCCAGTCCAGGGACTAAATACACACATCCCTTTTAAGAAATAAATGTAAACATTCAGATGCAAGAAGACTGCTTGCAGTGGTTTTGATTTTCAACAATGCCTCCAGTTGCCACGATCTTCATCACGGGAGACTTATGGCTGGTTAGTACTCCAGAGAAATTTGGCCTTAAGAGCTGATTTTAGCTCTAATGGCATTTTGCAAGGGCTTGGTCCTTTTGGGGTGGGGGGTGGGGAAACAAACCAAACCACCTCCAGGCACCAGAATTAAGGTTTCATCATCACTTCCCCCACCACCAACATCAACAAGATTCTGCAGAGGCCTTGCCAGCATCCCACAGTTACAGCTCCTTTCATGCAACTTTTGCTCACAAGTGTTGTAATCACTCCTCCTAGATCATGTTCCAGATGATAAAAGGGTGAGCCACTGCTGTGAACAGAACTCCTTTCATCACCAAAAAACTGTGCTTGAAAAATACAAGCAGCTGAAGTCTTTTCATCTTTTCAATCCTAGAAAACAGCACATCATCACCTTTCAGATGTTAAGTACTTCTGCTAAATATGCAGGTATTACATATTTAAGTTAAACTAATAAAATCATGACAATAGACTCAATTTTGAATTTCAAGTCACACTGTTACTATCATCCATGGCAAAATAAGAAGCTAGGGACACACAACCCAAGAAAAGCCATTTACTACAACAGGCGATGGCAATGCTAAGAACATCTTCACCAAAATTAGTGTTCTGCCATACTACAGCAAGTACAAATTGATCCATCATCCTAAGCCTAGCACAGAACAAGGAAGAATATGAATCATGTTTGTTTTATGGATGCAGAACAGGATTACAAAGCCATTAGGTGACTTGTAATATCCGAAGCTTCAGATTGTAAATTAGTATATCTCTCTCCAGCTCACTACCTTAACCATCAAGGCAAAGCAGTCTTGCTCCTCGATAAGGTAACACAGTGATAAATAAACACAGAAAGAATCTTACGTTGTATTGCAAACAATATGCTATTCTGAAAATTAAAGCCCCTCAGTTTTCCTAATGTGACAATTAGATGACAGAATAAAGCAACAGGTCCAGTTTCTCATTAAGTCACTGGCAACACCACATTACTGAGTAGTGTCAATACAGGAGCTGTCACCAAGACAAAGCGATAGGAATGAAAGATGAAGCATTTTAGAAGCATTTGGTTTCATATTCCTGGCTCTTCCACTGACTTTTTATGCAGCTGGGGCAAAACAGAAAGGCACACACTTGCCATGCTGTTCTCTCTGGTGTATTTAGGACGGACCAAGAATTTCCAGTTCAAGGAGCACAACAAATTCACACAGTGCCTTAGATACCAAGTCCATGATCTTCTTTGGTGCCTTTATGGTAACAATCAGGAAAAGTGCAGTCAGATGAATGATGAGGACCAGAAGAGTTATTCAGAGGACGCTCAATGTGTCTCCAAATCAGTTAAGGTAAGAGCTGCAAAAGGAATTCCGGCAGCTGTGCACATCTGGCTGGACAGAGAGACGGTATTGCAGAATACCAAGCTTAACCCTGAAAAAGTAAGTGATCTCTACCAATCTCACAAAGTTTGAGGGTGAGTAGAAGGATACTTCCTCCTAAAGGACAATAAAGTATACAAAAAAAAGCTGTAAAATGCTAATAGCCCAGGAAGGACACAGACTGTTGAAACTCATGGTGATAAACAGGGACAAAGAAAGTGCCTTTACGATTTTGCAACCGATCAGAGAAGACAAGACTCCCACCCAAAAGCAGGTCATTTTCTTGAGTACTTTTATCAACAGCAGGAGGTGGTGTCAGAGTGAGCTGTCAGACATTCCTCGGGGACGTGCAGATCACAAGGCTTGTCTTGAGCTGAAACATGATTTAGCGAAACAGAGACAGTAACAGAGATTAAAACTTTAATTTAAAACTTTGCCAACAAAAATTGATTACAAAAAGGGAAATTATCTGTACAAAATAAGAAAGGAGGTACTCATTTGACAAGAGACTGCCATTGTCAGCGTACGCTGGAGGACGATCAGTGCTTCAGGTCAACTGACAAGTGAGAAATGAACAAACTGAGCTCGTAATATGGAATTCTGAACTGAATTTTCCATAAACCAAAGTAAATTGACCTGAAGCAGCAGCTCAAAAGCTAATCAAGATTTATCAGAAGTCTATTCTCCTTGCAAACCTTTTCCTCTTAATTTAGAGGACGTACTAGAAAGCAAGAACCAGCACAGTGCACTGGGCCAGGACAATGACTTTTGCCACGCTTCCTCCCACTGAAGCCTTCCTTCTGGCTTTCTGTACAAAGATGCTCTGCAATTTGAGTGTGCCAGGGTTTTAGCTGAATCACAAACTATTGCCTCTTCACTTACCAGTTAGGTCCTGACTCAAAATGAAGACAAATGTTTTGGAGACAGTGGTATTACTATGACTAAAAAGACCAGCTGCATCATGCCTCCTATAAAACTGATGGTTCTTGGACTTTTCAAGTTAGCATCAAATAACAGCTGTTGGTCAACAATAGATTAGTTTTTACAACACTGCAGTCCTCTTTTCAACCTACCATTTTATACAAAGAGACAAAAGCATCTTTAAAATTCATAACTGAATAGACAAAAATGGCAGGTGATTTCTGAATTCCAAGTCCCTGTAAAACCTAAGCACACAGTATGACCATTACCAGTTTTCTACATTTTTCCACAAGCTGAATCAACAAAATTGAGTTACAGTGAAAAAACAGAGCATGCTATTTTTTTTATTTCAAGCAAGCCAGCCGAAAACCTCCAGTCTGACTGCTTATTTTCCGCTCAGCTTCACATGACGTAGTATTTACAAGTTTTTAAACCTTCAGAACCTAGGTTTAGTGAAGAAACAAAGTAGTAATAAAAATGTTTGGCCCAGATTCACTTCACCTACTTATAGATACCTGAGATACCTAAGTTGGGGCAGAACAGCTTTCTGTGCCCTACCTACCAAGTAAAAAGACAAACAAATGCTAAAGGGAAATTCAGTCAGAGACTTGAATCTCATCCTAGTGATGATGCTTTTCTTCCACCTATAAAACAAAGAGTAGCTATATTCCAACTTAGAAGTCTTGCTTAAGCTTAGAGTAATTGCATTCCAAGCTTAAGTGTTGTCATTTATGTGAACCTAAGCCTTACCTTGCTCACTAGCAGCTCCCACCTAGGGGAGCTGGGGACAGCTACCTTTTAAGAATGCTATGAGATGTGCATAAGTCCCCCTTACAGCTGGGAAAAAGGAGATAAGTAAGAAGTTTGCTCAAGCCCATGTGGTGAGTCAGCAACAAGCTAGCATTGCAGCTTCATGGATCTTAGCCCTGTGCTCTGCCCACGGAAACCCAGTACAAGGAAAACTACCGTACAGAATCATTCCCTTTTCCATGTCAAAAAGTTTTACCAAAAAAGTACAGATACTAATAAACAGTGTACGTAACTTCTTATCTGACAATGAAAGAGTCCTGTAGTAAAGCAATCTGTTCTGTTGTATCTTGACCTTGAAAAAGTTTATTTCCAGCTTTGATTCTTTGATGTCTTAAAGCTTTTAAGAGAAAGTTGAAGATTCAGTTAACAAACATAATGCTGAAGTCAGTACCCTTTACATTAACCACAATGATATGTTACATTTTCTAGTTTAAGTAATATTTGTGCTACCCAATTTTGCAATCAAAATAGAAACCTTGAAGCTAAGAATTTACAGATCTCCGGGAAAAAAGACAAGCCAGACAACTTCAGTTTAAACAGACCAAGCCTCGTAACATGCCATAAAGGGTTCAGAGATTTCAATTCTGTGAATATCTGTTATTGTCATTTCAAATGAAAGCACTCTTGCCCAGCCCATGCTGTAGCAAAGAAAAAACTCCCCTCAAAACAGAGCTTAATAATGGAAATGACAGATTTGCACTTTGCTTTATGAATGCAGCAGAGAGATACCACTTAAATAATGTTTCCAAAGATCCTGGGACCTAAGCGCAGCTATGGAAAAAGTCAGCTTCCTAGACTTTGGGGTTAGTTTGATCCATCTGCCTCGCACTGGGTTCTTACCTTACCATGGTCAACCAAGCTTTTAGCCTACCAGGCAAGACAGAACACAATTAGCTTGTTCCATCACATCACGGAACAAGATGGCATAATGGATGCCCGTTGCGACAGACAGACAATACTGTATAAAGAAGGCTTTTGTAATGGTAGAATCAAATCCAACACTACTGGCTAACCTGGAGCAAGATCTACATTTTTCCCTTCTGGAGTTTTTCCATTTTCTCTTGAACCAGAAACATTGTTTCTAATCAGTGAAATCCAACAGTACGACAGAGAGCTCAGTTCTTAAGCATGCTCTGCACCAGGGTCAGTTCTACGTCCAATTAAAACCAAAGAGTTGCTGTTTTCCAAGAGCAGGAGTTTTTCACTGGTCACCTAGCCGGAAACCTTGGCCCCAGTTGTGTCTTCCACCACCCTGCTGGTCTTCTGCAGCTCTTCTCATGCTAGGGGGTGGGATACCAAACCCCGACACTCCTCCTCTCCTATTTGGCAGCCAGCGGTACCTAGGACAAGCCAGAAAAGAAAAGGAGAGTTTGAGAAACAGCTGTATCTTAGGGGTAAATGCCAGACTACTTTTCCATGCACTTCCTTTTAGCTGCTAGACTTTGCAGTAAAATTGGCTTTTCATAGCAGTACTTCGCAGAGTTCTTTCCAAATCTAAGCCCTCAGCACATAAGGAATGAGAATCCTGGGGAACTTCCATCTCTGGGAATGGGATAGATACAATAATCCAAACACAGGGGAAAAAAACACATAAGGGACTCTCATCGTCGAGAATTGATGCTGTGATACAAACTTAATTGCCCTAAATTCTCTCCCTTTTTTTCCAGAGGAAATAAAAAAAAAAAATCCAAATCACTTGTGAGCATCACTCTCTCTTCAATAGTTGCAAAGCATACAACCACTTCACTGCTCTCCAAGTAAACATTCCTGAGGCACTGAGGACCAAAGGGACTAAGGGAAACAGGCTCAAGCAACTAGCTTGTCTGAAATCAAAGCTCAAGTGACCTAGCCAGGGCAAATCAGAACTGTAAGACTGTATCATCCAACTTAGGCTACCATCTAGATAGAGTGACCCAAAATACAGCTTCTGCATTTTGCAAGGGATGTCATCAATGCAGAGTCACTTCAGCTCTACAACAATTACAATGAGCTCTTGCAAATCCTTTCCTGAATTTGACCACTAAAGTCTGAGGCCCAAACGTAAAACCCAGATTGCTTTCTACAAGAAAAATGATCCTGTATAGAAAAAGTTATTCATGATTATACTAAAGGTATCTGTAATTCACCACTGTATTTTTTTAACAAAATGTTACAGTGCAAAGGTAGAATTTATCCCTTTGTAGAGATGCTTGCAGTACTTCTGTTCCTGCTTCTCAAGTATAGAGAAAAATTAAATATGCATATAAGGAATCAAGAGAATTGCACATAACCAGCAAGATTGGTGGCTGTTTCAGAGCTGTTATTACCTTGAAAGACATTTTTAAAAACATTTCATCTTCTAATCTTTATGGAAAATTAGGTTTACCAAAAGGCCTTGCAAACATCGAATTAGAATATAAAGCTTTTCTACTCATTAAAACTTGTACAGAAAATATAACTTTGATTCAACTTTGCATCTTCTAATAAACAGTTTATGCTATAAAAAGTGTTAACTGAGTTGCTAAGTAAAGTTTGGTAGAGAAAGAATATTTACAACCCAAAAGGATGAGGACAAGGGCAAGTGAAGCTACAAACTTTGGCTTCTGATCGTAGTATTTCAATGCCAAAACAATAAACATATCAGAAGAAAAAGCACTTCAGAAACCAAGACCTGCAGTCTCAGTCAAGGTGACTGGTACAAACTGCAAAGCAGAACACATATTATAGTCCTCAACAAGTCTACAACAGACTCCTATTATTGTTACAAGTTGCTGAACTGGTAGCTACTGTAATGACAAATGGAAATACAGATAAAAGATCATTTACAGGAGAAAACTTTTTTTTTTGTACCATCTGATAATTGTTAGGGAGTTCTCTTACTACAGCTCAATTCACTAGCAGAGCTATGACTTGTACTCTCACTCTTAAGAGTGAGTAAAGGACACAAGCCATCCATAAGGGTAACAAAGCTCTCACATGGGCCATTTAAAAGAAACTCAACATTTCTGATGACTCAGGAGCACAGTCAATATAATAGTCTGAAGCAGGTTGATTTAGCAAAGTATTTTACACTTTACAATCCCAGCAAATATATGTCTGATGAACAATACAGAAAATTGGACCAAACCAACAATGAGCTAAAGAATAAAGCCAGCTTACAGGAACTGAGGAGTGGACAGAAAATTCCTTCCTCCCAAATCCATTGGATATTTAAACATTAAGAAGAAATACAGGTGGCCAACCAGATTTCCTATCAGCTCATTGATGACTCTGCAAGGCAAAAAAAAAAAAAAAAAAAAAAAGAATTGTAACACATGCTGTCTTCTCGGCAAATAGTGACCATCTTCTGTCAGTTACTACTGTTCACCTGTTACGGGTGTTGTTGAGGCCACAAGCCACAGAAAATTTCCCTTTCCTCAGCATTTTGCAGCCAATTCTTTAGAAGGGCCAACCTTCAGTGCCAACACATCAACAGGCTGTTCCACCCTCCCTCCCAAGCCTTCTCTACAGTCTGTACTGAAAATGCAATTAAATACTTGTTTACATCAGGGAATTAGACCGTACAGCTATTAGTGTCTAAAATAATAGTCTGCGGAGCTTGAGAAGTTACTGCTGTTTTCACTGGACAACCTGTCTCCTGCTGTACTGAACTGTTTTGTTCCCAATTTTGCAAAAACACTGCTGAATGGAGGCCCTTGAGTATCTTCCGTCATGCATAGAAACAGCAGGTATCTAACAGCAAGCAGTGTTCTCAAGTGACGGGTCAGTCAGTAGGAGACACAGCCAGAAAAGGGAATTTTGCTGTAGTAAATTTTGAAGGGTTTTGCTGTAGTATCTCCTCCTTCAATAAATCAACCACATAACTTGGTATTGCCACTAATTACGTTACAGTGGCATCAAGAGGGCCCAATCAACGCAGGGTACCAATGGGAAAGACCGTGCCCAGAGGGGATTTCTGCATGATGGAGTTTAGTCAAAGAAACCCAAGACAGACCAATGAATTCAGCAAGTGCCAATATGGCACTCTATGGGCTTGTTATTGCCACTTTCCCTTGTTTCACAAGCTGAAAAAAACAGCACATTGGGCAAGACTGTCAGGAAAAGAAGTAACATCACAATTGGAGTCAAGCTAAATTTGTTTCTAAAAGCAGTGCTGATGGTTGGTCATATGGGATGACGTCTTTCTTTACTGTGCAGCAGTGCTTTAGTAAGGAAAAGGCCTAATGCATAGACTTACAAGCAAATAACCCAAATTCTTATTACTTTCCCCTTACCGACATTCTCTAGTTCTCACGTGCACATCTCCTCTTTCATCTTAAATGACCACCATATGACACCGAGTCATATTATCAGTCAGATTATACAGCTTTAAGCCTCTTATTTTAATATTGCTTCTAAATTCAGCAGTAAGTGCAATAGCTGTAAAAGCTTTTATAACTTCAAATTGGCCATATAAGTAAATACATACGATCCACCAATGATGTAGTTGAATCCCAGAATAACCCATGGAAGGTAACAGGCCTGAAAAAGAATGCAATGGAGACAGAGAAGTTGTAAGTACATGTTAAGGACATAAACCTCCTCAACTTCCCACCGCACTAATAATGTTTTAGACATCACACAAATCCTGATATATTAACTTAGGCAGATTCTACCTAACAAGGTAGGAGACTCCAAACTGAGCAACCACTAACATTTTGCGACATATCATACTAATTTAAACATTGTAAGTCGATGCGTCTTTTGCACTCTGTGTTCCCCACAAGCTTACATCTGAAACAAAGTCTAATATTTCTGATTTTTAAAAGGTCTGAAAACAATGATCAAAAGAATATTCACTACAAGATCTGGCAGAAACAGACAAGGTTGCGCAGGAAAGAGCAATTTCAAATACCAACATGTTGTCACTACAGTGTCACTATATTCAGCTTTTATCCAGGTTAATGTTTACCAGGATTTTTTTCCTGTTTTCAGACCAATGAATTTCAGTTGTCAGGACATCTTTTCAGTAAAGCCACAATGAGTGACACCATATGGAAGACCATAAAGAAATTTATCTTTGCTGCATCTCAAGGAGTATATAGCTATGTCAAAGCATGGGACATCTTTAGTAAGAGAAAATATTTATATTTTGCCCCTCACCCGCTTTATGTGCATCTTCTGGGCAGAAACCTTTCCAATATCCTGTCTGACATACCTTAAATCTTGTTCCAAACCAAAACGATACAATCATGTCTCTGTTTAGCTGGGCCCACACATAAAGTACTGACATGATGAGTGGAATCATCAGCAACTGCAATGATTTAAAAAAAAAAAAAAAAAAAAGGCAAAAAGTTACTATCACTTTCACAGAAGCCTGAGAAACTTACACAAACAACAGTAAGCAAGCAAAAAATGGCTTGTAAGCGTGATACATCAGCAAAATCTTTAAAGATTGCCCCAGAATCTTTGCCATCATGTGTCATGGATCTGTTCAAAAGCTATTGAGAAAGCTAAGCAGGAGAACCTACTCCGTCATTCTCTTTTGCAAGACCATGCCACAGCAAAAGGCTCCAACTTGCACCAAGTGAAAGAGCAGCTATGGCAAACTCCTCTGCTCCCAGCTGCCTGGTAGCACACCTACAGCACAGTCAGCACCACACTTGTGCCACAATCATTTACGTTCACAATACAGGGAACTAACCCAAACACACTCATCTGGGACTAAGCTAATACGGCAGATGAAGTGTTACTCCATCGAATTGCCAGCTACGTCCCACTCAGAGCACCACAGAGGGAAGGTGCGCCAGTAAATCGCCATTTCAGAGTACCGCAGCCAGCCTTGGCAAAGCCACCTTGGTCGAGCTCAGAATTAACCCATGGTCCATGCCAGGAGATGAGATTGTTTCAAATACCTCCTCACTGTGACCGTATATTAGCTGATTGGACTATTTCCAGTGAAACAAATATAAAGCACTAATTTAGTTATCTGCTGATTTCTGAACTGAAGGCAGACTGTGCCAGCAACGTTTCCACGAACTGGTTTAATGCCATGAACCAGCTTATGGGTTTGGAAGAGAGGTTAAAACTCATCCCTTCAGGGGTGCCACTATCCAACAGGTTCCACGTTAAATCTGGTACACCAGCATCAGTCTGGCCTTCCCCAAGCCCTACAGCACACCAGCAGTCATCACACAAGCACCTTAGGGTTGCTAAAACACCTTAAAAGTAGAAAAATTATTTTTATTTTACTGGACAAACAAAGTAATATGTAATTTCTGAAAATATTTGACATGGGAATAAAGGCTCAGCTATCCAACTCTATCTTCTCATTTTCAAGCAAGCCAGTCAACACAAGCAAAACCGCCTTATTTTAAGCAATATTTTGTATGCAGATACGAAACCATTTGAAGTACCCTTTTAAAAAGATGCAAATCAACACAATCAGTCTAAAATTCGTTCAAAGTATGGGTGATTTCAGCACGTTTTTGAAGAATTTTGTGGCGTCTTCCCCACAGCAAAAAAAGTTTAAGTATGAAGTTATGGACAGCCCTTAACAGAACTCAGTCCTGACTGCAGATGCATGATCTCTATTTCTGTCTACCAGGGGAGCCTGATAAGTGCTCTAATAAATGCTAATATTGTACAGAATATCAGAGATATTGGTGTAGGCTTTGGGTGACAAGGACAGAACAAGATGAGGAGAGAACAGCAGAGGCAGGCTGAAGACATACAGTTCTCTGGCACTCTGTTGTGCCCAGGAAACACTCCCTCATTCACCTCCCATAATATTTGGGGAGATAAGAACTACCTCATTGAAACTGCTTCTTTAGACCACTATTTTAACCATTCTTCTGAGGATTTTGCACCTCACAGATCTCACCTAAATCTGAAGCTGCATTTTTCACAAAAAGATCTTCTGTTTTCAAATAAAAGACACACTAATTTTGAGAAGACTAAGGAACTCAAGAATCACTTTTAGATAAAAAAGTAAGAATGCAGATCCGCATTCATTAGAAGAAACAGCGCATAGGTGACATCTTGTGTCCATTTTAGTAAAACGCCGAACACTTCCTGCCTGCACAAAGAGCGAATTTTCACCCCTTGACTCCCTAACTTGGTTAGGAGTGGCAAATTCAGATACAGGCTTGTGACATTAGCTGAGGCTAACCCAAGCTAAAAAACTAACAAAACACACAGAGCAGTCTATTTTGATATAAACTAAACCAGCCTAGCAGTTCTGCAGTTATGCTGATAATGCTCTCTATAAAGTCATTGTCAGAAAGTTCCATAAGATTATTACTTAAGAAACTGCACTGCACTTACCTGCATGTCCATCGCCAAGCCAGTTATCTGTCATTGCACCATTAAGGAAAACGCAGCAAAACCTGATAGACTAGAACGACAAAAAGAAGCTGCACGCACACTGAACACACATGCAAAAGGCCTTTAATGTTTAAAATTAAAACAGCGTTCCTGTGTAGTATTAAGTTAACCACTGGAAAAAATTAAAAAACTCCAATGATCTAGAGACTTACACACTTAGTTTCAATAATTGCTTTTCAGTAGGCTTTCAAGCTACCACCTCAAGGCATTACCTCGAGGGCTGATGGATGCACTGGCCTTCCCTTCATGATGAAACTGGCTAACTACAAACTCAATCAGTCCTTGCATAAAAGCATGTTACAGGTTTAACAGCTGGATTCTGTCATTAGTTTTTTAAAGGCTACAATATTGGTTTTCTAACTAAAGAAATACCAGATCATAAAAAAAAAAATCACTATATTGTCACTGAGTCATAGAAAATAAATAACTTCTTGAAGTGCATCAATGCAGGCTTTTAATACTACTCTCCTACCCTGGAACCCAAAGGATCTACTTGCTGTAGTAACTGCTGAGTAGAAACAATTGCTGAAGAGTTTTGCTATCACCAGAATGCTTTTAACAGTTCATGAACGTGTATAAAATGGCACCAAGTGTCTTCCCAGATCACACATCCAGGTTGCTCCTTACATCATATACGGAACAAGCAACTGGAAGATTTTAAATTCCAGTTTGAAAGTCAAGTCACAATCAGATTCATCTAATAGCTCACAGCCAACAGCCTGCAACCACAATGAAGCTGATGGTTTTCTTAACAACATCTAAACAACAAGGTTGTTTTCCTAGTTACTGCTGTGGCTCAACAGGACCGGCAGGAATAGCAAATCCCTCCATACAGTGGAATGCAACTAGAGATAAGTTACTCTATTGATAAAGGTAACAGCATTTCTACACACCAGCTTTCCTGGCTGTATCTGGTTCACGCTGATGTCACTGCTCCCTTTTTTCCACATGCTGTGCCACCACAAATTGCTACAAGGAGGTAGCAACAGCACAGAACAGCAGTATCTCCAAGGATGGGAGTTCCACAGCCTCTCTTGGCAGCCCATGCCAATGTTTGTCCTTACAGTAAAAAGGGTCTTCTTTATATTTAAATGGAATTTTCTGTGCTTCATTTTGTGCCTGTTCTCTTGTCCCACCACTGAGAGAAGTCTGACCCCATTTCCTTTACTCCCATTTTACCATCCATTTACTTTACACATGGATAAAAGATACTCCTGAGCCACCTGTTCTCCAGGCTGCACAATCCCAGCTCTCTCAGCCTCTCCTCGTGTGACAGACGCTGCAAGCTTTAATCATCTTTGTGACCCTTCACTGGACTCACTCCAGTACGTCCATGTCTCTCTCATACTTAGGAACCCGGAGCTGGATGCAGCCCCGGCTATGTCTCACAAGGGCTGAGCAGACAGGAGCAATCACCTCCCTCAACTTGCTGGCAATGCTCTGCCTAACACAGCCCAGGAGGCTGGTGGCCACCTTTGCCACAAAGGCACATTGCTGGCTCACGGTCAACTTGGTGTCCAGCAGGACTCCCAGGGCCTTTTCTGCCAAGCTGCTTTGCAGAGTGTCAGTCCCCAGCCTGTCCTGGTACCTGAGGATGTTCCTCCCCGGGGCAGGACTCGGCACTTCCCTTTGCTCAGCTTCCTGAGGTTCCTGACCAGCACACATTTCTCCAGCCTCTCAAGATCGCTCTCAATGGTAGCATAACCATCTGGTCTATCAACAACTCCTTCCAGTTTTGTATCCGGGACCTAAAGAAAACTTAGGTAGAAGAGCACAGCTCATGGAAAAACTGTTTCCCAACCCAACAAGCCCAGCTTCTTCAGGAAGTTATCTCAGTGCAGATATCGCAACGCTGCTTTCACAGACTCAGCTGACTTGTACCCCAGAGGTAAAGGATCCCTCTGCAGGATACCCCTGAATTTCCAGCTCAGGGAATGGCAGAGATCAGACCTCTCTGCTCACGGCAGCTTAAACGCACTAAATTCACTCTCAGCCCATGCAGCAGTGCACTACAGTGGCTAAACGAAGCGATACAGTGAACACCACAGAAGTTTATGCAGCAGGAGCCAAGCTCTGTATAAGCAGAACTCTAGTCCCCAGATCACATACCCGTAACAGCATGTTTATTAGTAACCACTCATTACCTTTCCAGGGAGATTAAACTGTGAATATTTGCTACATTTTAAAACTGTTAGTTGCTAAAACCTGGTCTTTGAACATATTTCAGGCAGAAATAGGAGAACCAAAATATTCTAAAGTTTCATGATGAGCAGAAGGATACAACAATGCAGATCCAGTTAAACAGGAGCATGAACATGTAATCTGCTGGCCTTCCATCAAAAGCTCCTGTAAATAAGAAGAATTGTTAGGAAAGGTACTGAAATCTTGATAAGAAATTAAGACTTTTTTTTTTTTAGGAGTCTAAGAAAAGCTCGGTTAGTAACAGTTGCCCTACATGCAGTCTGTGCTTTATTATTTTTATTTTTTTAATTTGTGAAATTTTAAAAAATGTGTTAATTTTTTTAAAAAAAATGTGTTAAATTTTTTTTAAAAATTGTTCTTATAATAGAACAACCTACAGGACCAAAAAATAAAACGTTCAGCCTACTGCATTAAGTGCACACACAGCGGCTCTACTTAAAAAAAGAACACAGTTTAACTCTGGAGATAAGTGGTTTTAACTTCACAAGACTTCAAAATGGAGTTGGACCCCATCCTTCATAAGAAGCTACCAGTTAGAAGCACACAGTAAGGAAATACACATGCACAGCAAAAGCAGAGACACCAAGTTTAAGGATCGAGTCGTGTGAAAACCAGTCCGTCCTTAGGCAAATTGCACCCTCTTTGCATCAGCCAGTCAGACTCGAGAGATACGATGGTTTTTACACTCCAGAAAAATCAACATATATGACAAGGAGGGTACACAGTTTGCAAACTGTGGTAAAAGACTGGCATGGACCTCAGCATTTGAGCGAGACTCCCATCAAGTTTCATACAGCTCCATGTGGGCAAGGAAAGGCTGCGAATACTGCTGAAACAGACCCAAACCACACAGCGACAAACACAGCACACCACAAACAAGCCGAATTACTTGCTAATAATTAAACATCAAAATGCCTAGAAAGAAGGCCACTGCTTAATGTTAGCCCTATTTGGCTACCTGCAGCTATTTCACGTCCCCAAAAATTTAGAGAAAGAAAACCTATTTATAAGCATTAGTTTTTTAGACTAACTAGAGTAACTCAACCTATATGAAACAAAATAGCTATTTTAGTAATTTTAAGTTTACTATTTAAGTTCAGCCATGCAAGTTACATAACGTGGTGGGGGAGGGGGGAATCAAAACTTTGAAAAACTCTTTTGGAAAGTTTTAAAGTTGGAGAACTACGTGAACTGGAGTTTTCTCCTTACTGTTGCCATACAACAAATAGAAACAAATAAAAAGAGGAAGCTGACTAACCCTGTAGAAACTCCAGCACAGGAATTCCTCCAGAATAGGAAGAAATCAAACCAAATATTATTCCCTTAAAGTTTTTCACTTCTCGTTATCTAGGAGATTACTAGCAAGAATGTTAGACGAACTATTTAAGTTGACTTTCCAACGAATATCTAATAAAACTGAGCTGCAGACTGCCAAAAAGCTCAGCATGGGGGCAAAGCAAGCTCTAGCCCACCGGGTCCTTCAGGAGGGCCCCGGGAAGAGCTGTAGACTGCTAATCTCATCACTTGTACTGCTGGGGAGTGAACTCTGCGTATTCTGCTTTCTCTGTTGATATTTGTTATGTTCTTCTCAAACAAAAACACATCAATCTCCTTTTCCTCAGGAAGCTAGAGGTCAGCTTGTTAGGAAAGCACAAGCACAGTACAAAACCATATGGATGTTTTTGACAGCTAAATTTGAAGCTAGCGTGCAACACCAGTGTATACTCAAAAAACCATGTACATTCCTGAAAATAGAAGTTTCACTTCCCCAGTTTCAGAGACAAAAGGAGGCATAGAGCTATGCTGATTTTCACTTGTAAACATATTATCAGCAAGTTATACACCTCCCACTTTCAGAATGACTTAAGCCTTTTTCGTAGAGGGGAAGCACCGACTTGACCAAGAACTTTTATATTACAGTCATTTTTCTGCGTGTAATTAAAGAAATGCATTGATTCAAACAACAACACAGCTGACTTCCCAGTTTCAAAATCCAGATGTGTTGTATAGCAGGAATCACAATTTACTGCTGAAAGAATTGGCTTCTCCTTCCATGAGGCTTCTGCCACAGCATAGACAACAAGAGCATTTTTTATGTATATGAACAAGCAGTGATGTCTTATATTAACTCTTACTACATATAGCTTAGCACAGTAGAATGTCGTAACTGAGTACACGTGTTCATAACCTACTGCAGAAAGGGTGAAAGAAAAGAAGGAACCATTTCTAGCTATTAAACTACTACTTACTTTCACTAAGAAAACAACCAAATACAATCTGGCACCACATCTACCTTTTCCTGCTACACTTCTTATGACTTAAAAGGGATTCCACAACACTCTCTGGATTGCAGGTTTACCTTTCTATTATGGGACTTCCTAAACGTCACCTTGCAATACATTTCCACTTACAACATCAGTTCTAAGACTCCATTATGAACAAGAATTTCACTGTAGTTCTAAAGGCTTTTAGGAGGAGCTTGGCTTTGCAAATACTTTAATTATTTACTTCAACAGAAACAATTTTGGTCTGGCTTTAATGAACTGCCCAACACAAAATGAAACCAGTTTTGAAGCTACCTTGTAATAACAATCTCTTTTTTGAGAAAAATGAGCCATTCTGATCTCCCTTCTTCCACTCCTAATTTCCCCCCCAACTGAAAATCCACCTAGTTCCTTAACTTTTTCACATTTATATTTGACAGAGGGGTACGCTTCATTCATACAAGGGATCTCTCAATTCAACATAACTGACAGAATAACACAAGTAAGCATCATTGCCTTTTAAAAAAAGGGAAACTGATATTGTTATTTTCTCAAGATGGATAGATCCATTACTACATATGCTCTATCACTCTTCTGTGTTAAAGGACATCTGACACAAGAAAACAGAAAACGTCATCTTTTAGTCTCTATACCCCATTTCCTGAAATCCAACAACTAAAAGCACCAGGCCCTCCTACTGAAAGAAGTATCAAGTTCAGATCCTAAATGAACAGGCTTCCTGCCAAAGGGAAGGAGCCAGTCACAGAAAGTGTTTTCAGAGCAATTTTCCATTGACCAACATAAGTGGGCACAGACATGAGCCATATTTCTCATGATTCTATCTGAATCAGCCACAACCCCGTTGCCACAAATATTCCCAACAGAAGCTCTATTTGACAATGCTTAGTCTCCATCATCTCCAGGCAGAGTTCACCACATGCACACAATTTCATGGATAACATACCTGTTTCTAATCGTGACGAATATTGATACAAGAAATACAAATTCACCAAGTAGAGAAATCCTGTTCCAGGTCCCACTGGGAAGAAGAAAGTTGCAGTTATCGGCCGCCAGATCTGTCCAGATCAAAAGAGAAAGATATATTTATATATTGTAGAATGAACTCACATGCATAGTTTTTTTCTCTTCATTTGTTATTAATTACTTGGAAGATCAAGGAGGAGATTAAAAATGGCCCAAGTAGCAATTACTGCTGCTTCAGCAGCTTTTACAGTTTTGGTTGGTTTTTTGTTGTTTTGTTTTTTTTTTTTAATCTGATACGCAAAGCTATAAAGATTACAAGAGAAATCACACACAACTTCCCAGATCGCTTCCATCACATCTTTGCAGTAGAGTCTTTATTGCAGTGCAAAAGGGATACACATGCAAGGATGCTACCCTGTTTTAAAAGCATCTATACAGAACCCATTCTTACCTATTGAACAGAGGACAAGGAATTCACTCAAGAGCCTTGAGCGTACCGTTCCAGACAGCAGGCGCTGCTCTGAGCATTTTGTACCTGCTTTAGAATCTCCCAACAATCAATATCGGCACAGCCAATTGCATGACAGCATGTAGCAAGGACAGAAAATGTCTGGCCATTTATGAATGAGCTCTTTAACTGGCAACATTTCCAAATAGAGCATTGGGACGCTGAACATCACAGTTCCAGAAGGAACTAAAGGAAAAAACAATCATTTAAGCTACTAAGTTTTGAAATGAAACATGAAACAGAGCTATCTTTTTATCTTTTTTTGCACTAAGCCTTTTTCACTGAAGATATAATGAGCACATATAATAGAAATTTAAAGGTTGGGATCTTTTCTCTTCCTTCACTTACATTTTCAGCTCATCCAATGCGCGCTCTCCCCCTACACACCTACATACCAAAACACTGAACCTATAACCTCCCAGTGCAAGGAAAGAGACTATGTCCAGTTTGTGACCACTTTTGGTATTGCTAACACACCCGGAAACACTGTACATCTGAAACCTCATGACTTCAGTTGTTAGTTTATGTCAACCACACCTAGGCACAGAAGTTGACAATCCCAAACACAAGCTTTTTCAAATTCCAAGCAAGAAGGTGCAAAAGATGCACTTCTTTAGCTCTGCCTTAATATCTCCAGAGCCACCTCCAGTTTAGGATGGTTGTGCCCCTGCCTGTAACCCCTGTTCCCAAAGCCAGGCCCACACAATTGCACAACAGAGGCCGGGCAAGCCACCTGAAGTCACAGCCACAGGTTTTATCATTACAGAGTGCCTTGGCACAACAACTGGTGCCAGGCAGAACAACTCGCCCCAAAAAACATAGAAAAAAAATGCACCAGAATGAGACACAAGACGAACTACGGGGCCTGTCAAGGGCCACAGCCCCCCTTGCCTCACCCAGAGGCCCTGGTGGGGCCGGGCACCGCAGTCTGTGTCACCTTGGTGGGGAGCCCGGGGCCTGCGGAGGCAGAGCAGCAGCTAAACCCGGGGCCCAGCTCGCAGGCCTTACAAAGGTTAAGCAGGGAGGTAGGCCCCGGCTTCCCGCTGGAGGTGGCCTGGGTCACTCCTACGGGCTGCCTCGGTGCGTCGTTGACTCCCAAGGCGGCCGCGGAGGCCGGGAGAGGGGTCCAGCTCCCGCCCGCAGCCCCCAGCCCCGCAGCACGGCCAGCCGCTCACTACAACTCCCAGCATGCCGAGCGCGCCCCGGGCCGGGCTCTCTTACGGCGCGGGCGCCGCAAGGCACGCCGGGACCGGTAGTGCGGCCCGTACCTGGAAGCGGTTGATGAAGGCGTCGGGCCAGAGGAAGAGGTAGACAGGGCTGACGAGGCCCAGCTTGCCGATA